CTCACCATATTTTGAAATAGTCTTGGATATAATAAAAGACTGCATGTTTCCATTTAGGAAGAGTGCCGTGGCCGCTTTTTCGAACCCTCTAACTTTATCTAATTAACTCAAATCTTAAACTAAACCCATATTTTGTTATCTGTTTGGTACATAAGCGTGAACATGTATCCACATTTAATACTCGTAACAAACAAGATTTTATTGTTCCTAGGTGTAGGTTAGAACTATTTAGAAACTCATTCCTACCTGACGCTACAAAACAATAGAATTTATTAAAAACAGAAATACGAGAGAAGCCGTCTCAGTCAAAACATTTTGAAAAACTTGAGAACAAAAATTGATATTCCACCACCATACTTTTCTTTTGGCAAACGATACACAAATATTCATACCAAATTACGACAATACTGTATACTTAACCATGATCAAAATAAACGAAATATTGTAAGTAGTCCATTATGTTTTTGTGGAAAAAATGAAGATGTGTATCTTTTTTTTTTCAAGCACAAATTTTTCTAATGCTAGAAGTACTCTTTTAATCATTTGTTCATGCTTGATTTGGTTTCTATTAATATTAATATATTTTGGAGATATATGGAGAATGCTTATATAGGCTATGCCTGCTGCCCAATCCATTTATGTATTTTACATAATAAAATATGTTCAAATCAAATTAATATATTATTATGCGGTGATATTTATTTGCCTTTGCAGATAAATAACAGTATTTTTGTGCTGTTCATAAATTTATTGACGAAACATGTAGATTTTCTAAATGATGTATTACATTATATTGTATCTATTTATTTATGTATCAATTGTATTATTTTTTTTCTTTTTGCATGACATATTGTATTTTATCTCATACGTGTTGGTGATACAGGCCGTTGGATAAACTTATGCTTTATCAACGGGTAGATGCTTTATCAATAGCACTTCCGGTTTTGACACGAACCCTCGCTTCAAGATTTTATTTTATTGAAACTTTTATTTGTGAAAATTGTTGCCCTTATAAAATGAATGATAAAGGGTAGCAATATCGTTAAAAGCAAGATGTCAAAGAAGTGTCTTATTTTATCAAGGAATCCGTTGGCTATTTGAAGACAGATGTTACCCCCCCCCCCCTCTTAGATCGTTTTCGGAGAAAGTAAAGCCTACATGTACCAGTTAAGTTGTTGTTATAAGACTCCTTTGACATCTTTAACAATGCTTTCTTATATTATACTACGTATGCCTACCTAGTAATGTAGGTGTAACTTACCATGGATCAGCAAACAATCTAGACAAAGTCTAGGACCCTAGCCTTGCCTAGCACGATTTGTACTGCCATCGTAAAAAGAGTTGATTTTCACGATCCCCATAGTCCTAACAACTTTCAGTCAGAAGTTCGTTTGATGTAAAGCTCCATCAATTTTCACATGATGTTTTCAAAGACACAGATAGCAAATATTCTAAATTTTGAACTCGATCTACTTTCTCTCGACGCATGTAAACATCAACGGTGCTACGTCATCAAGTTATACGTCATCAATTTGATTTTGGTAGTCATTCATGTAGTTTCGCAGGGGAAGTCTCAAAGTTTTGTTAAAACGAAAGTCGTATGAGATAAATAGAACATCTATTATAATTGTGTGATTTGATATTGGCTTTATCCAACTCGTTGAAATGGTGTATATTCGCTCGGCAAGCCTCGCGAATATATATACCATTTCAACTTGTTGGATAAAGCCAATATCAAATCACACAATATAGATATCCTCTATATATAAGGAGAGGAATTCACTAATTTATTTAAAACCTGTTTCCAATCGTTTGGATTGATATCAATAAAATATTTTCAAAACATAACTTGCAAGAGTTTTCATTGAAAACAGCGCTTTAGTTTTATTTCAGGTAATTAAAAAAGCCCTCTAGAGGGTATTAATTCCGGAATGTTGCGCTTGTCTGAGTTGGGTTTTAATTGTGACACATTAATATTCGGAATAGGAGGGTGGGGGGGCACTATATCACTTTATTGATCGATTAAAACAAGATGTACATGTAATAGCCATTTATAATGGCTTCTGGGATATTATACAAAATATACAGAAACACAAAGAACTTCTAAATTATTACACCAGTTTTTTTTCCGTTTTTTCTTTTTTTGAAATATGGGTGCTTTGGAGGATCTTTGAGATGTACGTTCTCCCTTCCTAAATCCATACCACCCCCCCCCCAATTTTGTAGGTTTCTAGGTGGAAATCAAACACTTACGAGGGGTCATCAAAAAGTTCGTGGACTAGCCCCATAAAATTAAAACCGCTTTAGGTACATCAATGAATTTTAAAATACCTAGTTAGCATCATCTTTTCAATCTAAAGAATAAACCATAAATCATAAATTTTAATTTTTAATAAACTAGTAATGTTTTTGTAGGCAATGGTATGTCCAGGCGGCGCAACCTCGAACACGACGTTTTTGCGAACTATGTGTAACTGAGAAAAACTCTTTTGATATGAACATTTGACATCCAAAAATCGTGTTATTTCGGGTATGTGTCGGGACACAATCATGTCATAAAATATGAAATTTTAACTTCTTTCTGGAAGTTCTATGAAATTTTATCGTGAATTATACAACGAATGTCCAAACAAATGAGGCCTTGAAAATGACGTCAAAAGGGGGAGGAGTTTCCTTTTCCAACATTCTATAAAGTTTTGCCCCTGGAAAAATTGGTAAATATCTTAAGAAATGTTTAAACTGGCTACAGAGAAATAATATGCAGCCAGATTACTTGTCTTTTTAATGTCAAAATAAGATTCAGAGAGAAAGGGATGCTTAGTTCATGTCGATATGTAGTCAAGGTGTGAAAATCAATTACGTCAAAAAATGACCTTGATCATGTGTTGTAGATATTGAACTCCCAAAAGCAAAATATGCCGGCACAATCAAGCGAAGATATTCCCCAATGTATAAATCCATTCGGAATATTATATTCATTGAATGACATAGTAAAGACATATAAATAAGGCGGGTTTAAGTCCTTACTCAGCTCCAGGGAATCTCATCAAAAAAAGTGTACGAGGTCTAAGTAAACATTGAAAAAACAATGACGTTGTCGGATGAAAATAAACGACGACAGGGCCGGGTGATCGCATAATGTCGATTTTATTTTATAATAATTTGGCAAATAATGAACGTATCAGGCTAAATTTTCAACATTTCTTTATTTTGTGTTGTTTTATGTACAATATAAATTTTGAAAGCACGTACTACATAGTACTAATTTTATAGCCTCAATCCACGAACTTTGTGATAACCCCTTGTAAAAATAAACTGATTAACTGATTAAGGAAGCCTACTCGTCTATGAACACGGAAAAAGTCATATTAAAGAATAACTTCTTTTTTTAAAATCTCTCTCTCTCTCTCTCTCTCTCTCTCTCTCTCTCTCTCTCTCTCGCTCCCCGTGCTTTTAAAGGTACAGTAGATACTTAGTGCATATAATGGTGTACAGAATTTTTTTTGCGATGTCATTACATTTTGTCCAATTTTATATTCCATTACGCTATTAAAATACTTGGCAGAAAAAATTCGATGCTGATTAATTGCCAATGTATATGTAAACAGAGACATATCTTTTTTTTAAAAAGTTGATTGCTTTTCGACGGAATTTTTATCGGAGCTACAGCCACGTGGTTTACTGATTTTTTTTGTATTCACAAGATACATATTACCTGTGAAAAAGGAATCTTTGTGTCACGGGGGAATGTTTTAAAAATATTTTCCATTTTCCGTTGATTTCTTTAGTGAAAGAAAAGTTTTAGCAAAATTTTAGAGTTATTTCCCTTTTTTTTTTCAAATAAGTAATGTTTTATGAAAACCCATATAATTACTTATGAAAATTTACAAAAAAAAATATCGAATATGTTAACTTTTGAAAAATGACTTAAAGGTAGTCGGGAGAAAAATACTATCATTTGCAGTTCTTTGTTCATATTACTAAGGTATCAAACAGTATACTTGTTTATAGTTTAATTGTTTTAAATCAACATTTCGCAAGGACTGCTCTTTGTTAACCGATTGTATTTTAATGAAGGTCACGACTGGCCTTACCGAATGCAGTGGATGTTTCCTCCACTATGGCACCAGATCAAAATTCTGATCTTTTGGGAAAACTGATCTCCTGTGTTCTCAATTTGAAAATACAACTTTAAGCTTAATAAGTTGGCCTTTTTATTTATATACGCAATCATTTTTTTCTACTTTAACCTAAGTAATATCAATACTTTAAATTTGACATTTAATAACAAATACTAGTATTTTCAATAAATTGCAATATTTTTACAAAAATTTATCATATCTAAGTTTTGGTGCCGGTGTTGCTTAATTCGGAAAAGTGTCGCCTGTTGTTGAAAAAACCCATATTATGTGTATTCATTAAATACAGATCTACTTATATACAACGCATTCGCAAGATAAAGATCAACTATATATATGCTTCAAAACATTATCTGACTAAATTATGAATTTATATGCTTATATACCAGAAAAATGGTTGTCCATGCTTAATATTTTTAGTTCAATACACAGGGATTCTTTTTCAGTCTGGGAAACAAGATTAAGTATCTTTGTTCATAGATGCAATTGTATAACGGTGTTTCGTTGATGTTTCGGGGGTCCGTGTTTGCTCTGCTCTGCTCTTGTTTTGTATTGTTTTATGGACTTACAGATTGTATACTGTTCGTTATCTCCATATCCTTCCTTTGAAAGGCGAGCAATTTCCTTATCTGTTTCATAATGGTCAATAGCTACATAAACATTATTGTTTTATTAAGTAACCACTTGAGTAACATAATACAAATATTGTAAAACAAAATCTTCTCGTCATCCCTGTTCATAATATTTAGACAGTTAGCAATACAGATACATGTATTTGTAGTAAACTCAGGAACATTCCAAGAGGTTTTTAAAACTTAGTAACAGGACAAGTATTCTATATATTTACAGTGACACAATTAACTTAATCAATATTTATATATAAGAAAATTCTAACCAGGAAGCTGTTTATTTAGAGAGAAAATGACAAAATGGAAGCATGTTGTTGAATGTAAGTAAATGCATGTATTTCTGCTATTAGAGAACACAAAACACGTAACGAACAAATATCTGTTTTACGAACTGTAAACTTGTTTACTTTGTGATTACCTGTGTAACTGACGAAACGTACGGACCAATCACTCGTATAGAAGTATTTAAATTTACACAGGATCTTTTTATTTTGTATTACATGTAATGTTATGTACATACAAACATGTATACATATAAAATTGAATTGTAATATACGAATGTTCATTTTTGATAAAGGAAACTGTTGATTTTAAATGTACAGATACAGTGAAATTTTCTGTGTCCACTATAAAGTTCCTGCTGAGACTCCGTTTGCGGGATGTAAATCTCATGTGATGTTCCATCTATGGCACCCAATACGTTTTGCATGTTGTTCCAGTGAGCACTCATGGATAACCATTTTGCTGCTGTTGGCCAGCGAATTTCTGAAGCCAGTATGTCCCACAACATAAACCATGTTCTCTTCAAAATGTAGCCTACACTAGATGTACTTGCTCCGAAGCATAGAGAAAGCAATGGATAAGTTCGTTTCTGCCTAAGCCGTATTAATGTCATTAAAACTCTATTTTCTGAATTTATTAACTGCCCATTTCTCATGTTTCCATGCAACTCAACGTATAAGAAAAGTCTATTCATTAATTCTAGAAATGAATCAATCGTCTCACCACTCAGTATCCAGAACTCAAAGGGCCTCGATCTTAGGTCTCGGTAAGTACCCCAGCAGGTCCAGGACAAGCCCTGGTGGGGTCCAGAGGAGAAACCACCGGAAACTAAAGGATTCTAACAAATTAGAGTGTTTTTCCCTGTTAATTTTAAGATAATCCAATTAAAAAAAAAATCAAATGGGGGGGGGGGGGCGCGTCCGGCGCGCCGGTGCTGGATCCGCCTTTGATAATTACAAAATGAATATGAAGCGAGTGATGGTATTCATAAACTAGTAATACGGTTAATATCGTCGAGTTACGTTCCTTTGTTGGGTGTTAGGTGTTCTCTATTAGATCAATATTTTACACAATTCTCAATTTTTGATAAAATTGCCAAGTGGGTTGAAGAAATACATGAATCAATTAAGAGGTTTAAGATGACACGGGCATATGGATAACACATCTTTAATTTGTTGTTTGTTTGTCTATTGTTTAACGTCCCTCGAGAAAATATATTACTCATATGAAGACGTCATCATTTGCCGGTGGAGAGCTGCAAATTTTGCCGTATATGTAGCACTCAGGGCCATTGAATAGTGAGGGATCTTTATCGTGCCAACACCACCTGGGACCTCAGTTTATGTTGAGGAAATCGTGAATTCTGAATCTTTTTGCTGCTTCCGTACATCTTCAGGAAGTCTCAGAATATATGCTGAAATATATTGTTTGGAGATAACGAACAATATTCATATTTTAAAATTATGTTTAATATAACGCTATCATAATGAATATAATTACAGAACATCAATTTTAATAATTGCATATACGCGTCGCCGGTAAAACTGTTTGCAACCATTAAATCAGCATTAACGGTCGCAAATACCAAATAAGAAGATAGTTAGTCCCTAATTTCAATTCATGAAAAAGTTTCTGGCAAGTTCTTTGTCTTCATAAACCGTGTACAAACTATTATAAGCTTCTGCAGAGGAATTTTCAAGATATACGTTTAACTTTACAGCCGTTCGTTTCTCGTTTAAGACTGAGTCAGCCATTTGTTGTCATGAGTGATCTACTTAATGAGGTCATTTTCACATTGTGACGTCACAATCACTTGGCAAAATATTCCATAACATATGCTCTGTGTAGAACATGTGTGCCAAATTTTATTCGGATCTGAATTGTGGTTTTGTAAATATAGAGATTTTTTATCACCCCATGTATGCGTCTCAATAAATGTTTCACAAATGAAATTACAAATAATATAAAAGTAACATACTGCATGTAACTTTTATCCATTTAATATTTATTCAATTGGAATTATAAAACAGGAAACTTTATTTGTGAAGTGGCAGGTATGGATAGATACATCCTGGCATGCCAGGGATCTTTAGTCAATACGTTGCCGTTAAACGCTTGGTATATTTCAATAAATATCCTTGGCTTGCTTTTCTTATTGAAAATACGAATAAATTTAAATGTTTTAATAATAGTCAGATTTAGTTGGCGATTGATTGAGAGGTAAGAAAGCTTTTCAATTTTCCTGAAAGACGTAGGTACAGTTTTTCCACGAATATTGAAAGAAATATTAGTATGTCAAGAGTCTAACAGCAACGTTAACGTGACGACTCAGGACCCATGGTTTGCGAGGATGGGTAGGGATCAATATATCTTAGTATGTGCTTCATTTTCACTGAATTTATAGAAACAAAAGAAAACCAAAACCCAAACTTCTATAACTAAACCATAATGTCTTAAATAAAGTTTTAGTTTATCACTAGTTTTACATGTATTATATTGTTCCCAGAAAAATTCAGCCAGAATATGAAATATACACATTGAGCACGCTCTCCTAGTTGTATTCTTGCTAGAAATAATATTGGTGAAATAAATATGTTTGATTCTATACTTTAAATCTAAAAGACTCTGCATTACACCGATGCGTTCAAGCTTTTCGATCATATTCATACACGTTCATACACGTTCAATGTAATAGCATGTGTTCATTTATTTTGTAATTGAATAGTCCACTTTGTTGTTTGAAATATCCAATGTTCAGTTGAAAATATAAAATATTGACAAGTGCATTACTAGAAATGCCCTGCCATGCAGACCGTGTATATATATAAAAATAGTTTCAGCTAAGTTTTTTTTATATATGTCATGGATTTGGGGGAGGGAGTTACTAAGCAGACTGGCTTCATACCTAACCTATTTACCAAAAAGCATTACATTATAAATTCATAGTTTAATAACATGTATTAAATTTCAGGGTTCCTTAAATCTCTGATTTTGCATTATGGTTGCTCAGCATACAACATAAACAGGTATGTATAAAAGTTTAAAGCAAGTAATATCAATTATAATTAAATGTGATAAGTATTATTCATATTCTCCTGGCTCTTTGTGGAAAAAATCTGAATAAGGGATTTAAAAAACACAATTATCTCTTCTGAATATTAAGTTAAAATCATAAATTGTTGGAGAAGAAAACTTTGGAATAAAAAAAAATTATGAGAAATAATAAAAGAATAATACATTAAGTAGATTGACAAAATCTATGAGTAAGGCAATTTTTAGTCTGTCATTCGGCAGAAGACACACAAAAATACTATAGTTGATAGCCGAATGAATGAAACTAATGTGAATAATGGTGTAGTTATATCAGACTTGAATACTTATTGAAAAAAAAAATACTCATGCATGCAAACGTTACTGAAATTTAAATTTTGCTAATTCTGAAAACTCCTTGCTAAATTATAAGGGATGGCTCTTTTCGTATGCCGTGGATGACACGAATTAAAATGAAGATACTGATGCGTGTCTGTTGGCTTGTAATAGATATCTGTCTAAATGACATCGTTTTCCTTAATTACCATGATGTCCAGAAATGGAATTCTATCTGTACTTTCCTCCGCTGTAAATCTTATATCAGGATTAAGTTCATTCAGTAATGTTTTAAAGGTAGACAATTTGTTGTCGCTGTATTTCCAAACAATAAAACAATCGTCCAGATATTTTTTCCAGTTATAAGTAATGTAAAGTTTCCCCTCTTCGTTGAACTGCTCTTCCATTTTCTTATACATTTTTTCTTCTAAGTATTCTAATGTGGCATATGTAGGAGCTATTTTTGTGCCCATAGCCGTTCCTTTTATTTGTTTAAAATGTTTTCCATTAAACGTGAATGTATTATTAGATAGTACTATTTCTGTTGCTTCTGATATAAAATCTTTTGTAAATCTGCCGTTAATTTTGTCGGGATTTTCACTTATCCAGGAATCCACGGCTTCTAGTCCTAGGGAACTTGATATATTGCTGTACAAGTTTATTACACCCAGTGTAACGAGTTTACTGTTATTTTCCACTTTCTCGGGTAAATGACGTAGAAAATCAAAGTCATCTCGTACATAACTTTTGACTCCAGAACATAACGGTTTTAGAAGAATTACTGAGTCTCTGTGTTGGTGCCGATGGCCCACCTACTATTAGTCAAAATGTGAGATCTTCTGAATAAGGAGAGATTATGTATTCCGAGCACTTGGACTTGATAGCCTCTTTTATATGTCTAGATTTACGAATCTTTTGCAGTCCATAAAAACTACTTTCACTGTATTCATAATTTATTAAGAAGTCTTCCTCTTTCTTTGTTAGACTTGATGTAGTTTTATTTTGTTTCAAAAGATTCTTAATTTTTGCATTGTTTTTTTTCGTTGTTGTTTGGAATTTCTTCGTAGTACTCCGTATTCGATAGCATGTTCATTATATGAACTTTATAAAAATTAGAATCCATGATTACAATTGCGCCACCTTTGTCCGCTTCTTTTATAACAATAGATTCATCACTCGACAATGATTGAAGTGCATTCTTCTCTTCTTTTGTTAGATTCCATTTTATTTTTGGTTTTGTTTTTATTCAGCGGCAAAGTATTTAATGTCTCACAAACAACATCTAGAATTTCGTTTCGTCCTTTCTTAGGGTTAAGGTGAGATTTGTTGCGTACGAGGTCTTCTTCCTCTTCTGAATCTGAATCACTCTCGTTTTCTTTATTGAAATATTCAGCTAGCCTCATTTTCTTGTTGTCCCCCGCTTGAAAAGTGGGGGATATTAATTTGGGTTTGTCCGTCCGTCCGTCTTTCTGTCTGTCTTTAATCGTGTAGGTCACAGTCAAGGTCATAAGGTCATTGACCATGAAGTCATTTAAAAGATTAATACCAATGTTTATCCTTTGTTTAGTGCGATTATTCATTAACTATCAAGAGCATGTATTTAAATAAATGTGTCGCGTTTTTATGTGCAGGCTACATCTAATTTACAATGAGATGCCTCATAAAATCGTACTTTCGCAAGGGCATACACTTAATAGATCTTAACCATGTTTTGAATATAAATAAAGGATATGTTCCTTAACTTGAAAAGTGCTGCTGCTTTCTTTAAATCGAGGGCGTGATTTTATAAGTACCCAAAATATTTGGTAAAAGTCAAACATATTTCGACATTGGCTTATTTACCTGAAAATTTAACTATTAAAACGCAAATTCTATTCAAAGCAGCAGCACTTTTCAGAAACTACAAAGTATGCAGAAACAATTAATAGTTTGAATTTTTAATTTCAACTAGGGTATGCCCTTGCGATATTGAAATTTGTTCATGACCTACATTCAGTACACGAACTGTGCATTCTTCACGTGACTGTCCATCGATTGGACTAAACTTCATACAGTACAGAGTGGACTATACTATGCTATTTCCATAAGTATTTGAGTTCTGTGATAATAAAACAGCTTAATTAAAATAAATTCAGTTTTAAGAAGACCCCCCTTTCTGCACGTCTATTTTCCGTTGATTTCTCATACATGTAGTAGGCCTTAACAGAGCTGCGAAGATTTTGTTCTTATGCAATGTAATTTTATACCAAAACTCCCTAGGACCTCTCTCACCTCTTTCAAAGTGCCCCGCTCCGTTTGTTTCATTAGTATTTATAGTATTATATGTCGCTATTTTTAGCAGAGGGGCATGAGGAGAGTTATTGCGCATAAAACAGGTTCTCGGCGGACTTTATGTTCTTATTACATCTCTTAGAACTGTTTAATAAAGGCTAAATAAATCAAACACCATGGATTGTGAAAAATTTTGACAATACCGAACATGAATATATACATGTATGTGATTTCACTTCTGCATATACTTGATGCTATGTAAAGAGACTCCGTGGTCCAGTGGTATGTTTCTCGCTTCCCATGTGAGAGGTCCCAAGTTCAATTCCCGGGCGGACCACTTTTTTTCTTAGAAATACTTTATTTTTTTTTACTAAATAATAGTTATTCAGCACGCAAAATAAACAATTTACGAGGTCTAGCTTGTACAAACTCATAAAATCATCTTTACAGTGTGATAAATATTCCGTATAAAAAGAATCTACTATACACATAATAAAGAATAAGCAATTAAATCTTTATATCCATAATGGTATATTTTATTTGTTTCAGCATACATGCATGTATACATTTAATAATTCGACAAATTCAGTGAGGGGGATATGACTCTCCCCCCTCCCCCTGAACTGCGCATGTTTTACTTTTTCCTTAAGCGGGGGACACAAATGCTCTGAATTAGCTTGTATATTCTTTAATATCGGTCCTTAATTCTTGATTATTACTATGAGGCGTAGGAGTGAATTTTAAACCTTTGGATCACAGATGTATCTCCGAGTCACTTAAAGGTCTGTTTGAAAGGTTGATAACTTTTAGGGTCAACGTTTTTTGTTGTAGGTTTAGAATTCAAGTCTTGTTCCGCACCTTTCGTCGTGTATTCATTGGGTGGTGTTAGTGCTTCTTGTACTTGTTTTACCAGTCCTGAAATAAGTTGTTTGCCCCTTGGTTGGGTTTGCCGCCCCCTAAAAAATAGTTTCTGGCTTTTTTTTCTATGTATGTCACACGGTTAGTTTTGTACATGTTGAGTGAATAGCCTTTAGATTGAAGATAATATATTTCGTCCCTTGAAGATATTTTTCCATATGTTCTAGGGTTCTGAATTGCTTTGAATGGAATACTTTGTTTGTGGATCTTTGGTTTACTAAACATTTGCTTTTTCTGAGTGTTGTATTTTCGCGAACTTGTCACCGTTGGTAGAGTGTTTTGTGTATCATATCTCGGTGGGTCGTTTCTAACGGCATCTGCATAATTTCTACGTGGCATTGCGTTGGCTTTTCTACTTTGTTGTTTTTTAACTCTTTTGTGCTTTGTAGGTTCCTTTCCATACTTATTCTCGTAATCTAACAGCCAAGCTTCCTTATATCGCCATTTGTTGAACGATTTCTGTTCTTCTCTTGTACAATCTGATTCCCACATTTTTAGAAGAATTTCGAGTACTTTACCTGATGCTTTGTTCCTTATTTCTTTTTCCATTTGTGAATCGAAATCAATTCTTGAAGCTTCCTTTTGTAATGCCAATTCATTAATTTCTCTTGGTAATAACTGCGTTGGGGATTGAATTGAGCTTACCTCGATTTCGGTGAAAACAGCCTTCAATATAGTTTCCTCTTCATCCAAAAGTGTAGGTACTTGATTGTGAACAGGTGGGATTTGACTGCATACATCAATTAAATTCTCCAGCAGATTATTTGTAATATCCGTTTTGTTTATCATTAAATCAATTTTCTCAATCAGTTCTGAAAATTGTTCATTTCGTTCAAATTCTTTCTCCCTCTGAGTAGTACTCCGTGTTTCCATCTCGATCACTGGTAATGTATAGATAAATCCAAGAAAAATCACAGTGGTCGGTGATAAATATGAAAATTATTTTAAATAAATAAAAACACAGAGAACGAGTAAAACATAAGCGCCTTCATTTCTTCTTCATGATGTTTTACAAAATACTCATGGTATATATAAATTCATTTAAGGTATATCGCTTTTTTTAGTATGTTTAGATGCAAAATCCAAGGATTGGTAATTTTTAATTAATATGAATTTTTTTTGAAAGAGTATTCATGCAGTGTAATTTGAATAGTTTTCAACTTTAAGTGTTCTTTTGTTTTGATAACAAAAAATCACAATTTGAGCTGAAGTGTAAATAATTTAAAAAATTAAAAAAGAAATATTATTTACCTTTAAGTGAGGTGTGCCTTCAAAAGTTGTTCGATTTTGCCTGGGGAGATAAGGGATGCAACTTTACGTTGGCAGATGCTAAACAATGGCTTGAAACAGGTAAGCAAATGAAAATGGTCCAATTCCGAGTTATGAAGCCATCCTTGGCCTAAATAGGGACTTTTTTAGGAGAGAATAATAATAGTAACTAGATGAGATCTCGTTGCGAGCAACGAGTAGGTCTTCCGTTGAATTTCTCGATAAGATGAGATGTGATTTTGACTGAGATATTAGTTAAAAGAGAAAGACATTAAGTTTTTCTTCATCAAATTTAAAGTTTCTGATATTTATCACGATAGTCTGAACATCTTTTGTTCAATATGGCTTATAAAAATGTTTCCCCTTTTCGAGACGTAATGCATAAAAAATATAGCATTTTGGCCCCTTGCAAACCTTATATCCATAAAATATGACCAAAATTTTATAACATATTGTTGCAAATCATTTAGATGACTACTTTTGCTTCAGTGATGTATAACAAAATATTGATCATTAGAGAGTTATGGATTAAAGAGTTTTAGCCCTTCTCAGTCCCTTATCTGAGGGCTCAGCCCCATTTCTTTGGTATCAAATGAAAGGTCTTGTGATTTTGAAGATTTTTTATTCAGTATCTTTTCAGAGATTTCTTCTCGTTGTGGAGATAGGCTAAATGGAAATATTCAGGGGCCACCCCTACAAGTCCTTAATGGGGCCGTTTTACAAAAATTCAAAGTATGGATATTGTTTAGAACATTATTCTGACCATCTTTTCTTCAATATTGCTTATCAAAATATTCCCCCTTTTTGAGATATAAAGCGTCAAAGATTTGAAATTCTGGCCCCTTTTGACCCCTAATTACGTAACATATGATCAACATTTTATCATATATTGTTGCAAATTGTTAAGATGACTACTTTTGCTTCAGTAATATATAACAAAAAAATGATAATTAGAGAGTTATAGATAAAAGACTTTTTGCCCCTTTGAGCCCCTAATTTGAGGGGTCAGCCCCATTTTATTGGTATCAAATGAAAGGTCTTGTAATTTTGCACATTTTTTCTTCAAAATGCTTTACCACATTATGAACAGGTATGAAGATATGAAACAAAATGTGTCAAATTTTGTGAGATATCTCTGAGACATTTTTTCGTGCCCAACCGAGCTCCGGCGCCTTTTGCGCTAGAAAGATTTGAAGACCCAATTGCAACTCACCAAACCTTCCTTTATTTTCACTGAAAATCTTAAGTCGATATCTTAAGTCGTTTCGGAGGAGTTTCCTGGACAAGCCGACCCTCTGAAAATCAGAAAATCCTGAATATCTCGAGATAAGAAGTGACGTCATCAATCAAAAAAATTTCCAATAAGGTTCAGATCAATACCTACCAGATCTGAAAGTTTCGTGAAATTTGGACGAGTCGTTTCTGAGAACTTGCGTGCACAAAATCGGTTGGAATAATAAAAGGGAAAAAGAAACCGAACGAAAACAATAAGGTCTTCCGTTGGAGACGGAAGACCTTAATAATTTCTCGTGTTGCATTTCAAAAGTTTTAGTTCGTAGTTGGAATAGCTTTGAAACAAACTGGCTATTTATATCAAACAGTGATGTCTTGTGTTATGCTAACTTTGGAGGTTAACATTCTTTATAAAATATGGTGAAGGAGTTTCATCTTTCCTTGGTTTAAACTCATTTAAAAATATTGTTAAATATTGTATACTTGAAAAGTTTCTCTCCAGTCTAATTTTATTGCCTTTCACGATCGTCGCAAAGGAGCATATAATTTTAATAAGGAAGGTAACATAAACTCTTCGGGGAAACTGTCTACGAAAAAATATAAAGTACTTAACAAATTTTATGATGCACAAGGTAGATAACATTTTAAAAATAAGTTTGTAAATCGGATTAGTCTGTGTCGTAAAAGTATTACCATGTTTAATCATTATTATTATATTCAGTGCTGTTTTCTTATTTTTTTTCAGACACAACTCTTTGTCCTAGAAAATGTCGCGTAAAAATCAACAACTTAGATGAAACAAAACGGGTATTTGATACAAAGTATCGTTTGGAATTTATCCATCTAAGATTCAATGTCTTGGTCGAAAATTCAATGAGAATGAAAAGGAAATGCATATTCTTAGATCCATCCAAAGATGGGAGGACAATGGAAATTAATTGCAAAATAAATGCAGAAAATTGTAAGTTCTCTTATTCCATGAAGAAATATTTATTCTACTGAAAGATTATTTTATATGAATTAACCAAAAATTATGAAGAACAATTATATATATAGAGAAAATTCAACACCACCAGAACTTAATAATTATTTATTTGTATGTGGTGAGTATTGTCGTGGCATTATGCATGGGTCGCCGCACAAATTAATACAACATTGGCAGAACCACTTCAACATCAACATCAAATCAATCAATCAATCATCAATCAAATTCAGCAAATATAAACAAATTGACCGCCCTGGGTAATCCGCGGACGGTTACTTAGTTAATCTGTACTAATTTACATCAGGGGCCTATATACTAAGTATATAGTCCCCTGTTTACATACACAATCTGCAATAATTATTTAATACAAAATGCAGTTTTTCTCCAATTTATCAAACCCAGTCACACAGCAATGTAGTTTGCATCAGCAAAACATTTTCACTCGATCAGTGTCAACCATTAGTCAACAATTATTTCCCATTAATAGTACTTAGTTAACATATCAGTTGACTTTAGTTTGCGCATACACCAAATGGCTGCAAACGAGTAAACGTTTGCAGTCACCCCACAAGGGAGCACCAAGTCAACTGACCCACGACAATACTGAACTTCCCTACTTATTTCCTTCCAGATGGACTGATTATAACTATTTCTGGAAATATCTCCCCTCCAGAGAGGTAAACACCATCTCAGAACCAAAAGGAGGTGATATCCTGTATAGTTTCTGGCAAACACACAAACAAAGGTCATGTTTAGCAATATCTCTATTAAAACAAACACAGGATCTCTCCATTGGCATTGCTTGATTGTATTGAACATACCTCCATTCTAAACAAAAAAAATTCTTGTTTTATCTTATACTGAGTTTTACACTCTCCACCATCCTATCTTGATCATTATCTTCACAGTGAAAACTGTAAGAGACTAAGAGTACAATGTGGTATCATTTATACACTCTTCAAACAAAATCATTTCATATCATGAAAGTCAATAATCTACATAGGGTTCAAAGCAGAACAATTAACAAACAAATATCACTGCAAACTAACGAGGATTTAGAAAAGATTAGTAAGTGGAGTGTACCCTGAGTTTACCACTTGTACCCTTGAGATTTTCATCTACCTGCATACCCCTTTTTTTCTAATTAACACCCCAATTCATATGAGCAGTGGCTGCCCCTATATTTAAGGACTGTGTTTTAAATTTTCCCCTATCCCCTATCCCTATTTTTTTAGAATGGTAAACTGATACTGTATAATAGCCTTTCACCCAGAATGACACACCAATGGTCCTTTGATTTTTATCCACAAGAGACAAATACTCAGACATGTACCTAACAGTGCATATACATGGTTAATTCACAAATTACTGTACAACATTGAATCCTTACCTAGTTACTCACTTACCCTGTTGAACAGACTTAATATTCAAGAACATTATACCTTGGTCAGGTTCAGTTTTGATGTCTGCAATCTGAATTATAACTGCAATGATAATAATTTTTGGGTGTAAAAGCAGAGTACATGTATACTACAAACCATGCATAATAAAAAGAACAAAACAAAACGATTAATTAATGTTGATGAAGAATTAGAAAGGTTAGATTCATGTGTAATTCTATGTACCTAATGTGGGAACACTTGCAAAATTTTTAATAATCATGTGATTGAAATAGTAAAAACTAAATATGTTGCTAATAAATTCCACCTTTTAATTGAATGCACTGCATTGTCAACATAACTTTGCTACCTGTTTCCTATGGCCTGAATTTATAAACTATAATATATGCATTTACATTAATCTCATGTACCCTATAATTAGAGGATTTTGAGTGAATAAATTAAACTGAACTTGTGACTTTATCTGAAATAACACTAAAAACTGATGGCAGCAACATACATTGTATGGCCTACAGCAACATACATTGTTTTACCTATCTGATAAATATGCATGTAGAGCATGAACATGACAAGAATGTAACTCACTGCACTATGTGACTTAAAAATGGTGGCCACATTTCTTTCTAATTAAAGAAGTAATGAAACTTTTGCAATGAAAGTACAACACTTTTGTCTTTGTGGCCTAAGATGCCTCAAGAATCTTTCTACTTTAAGGCCATGATCATTCTCACAAATTCCTTGGTAAGCTTTTGTCCTTGGTGTCAGGTCCCTGAAATGCCTGTACATGCAGTTTATGATAACTTGTACCTGCTATTGAAAACACCTGGTATCTTCTTACCTTAAAAATATTTATTATTAATAAATAATAATACTATTAATATTTATATTCATTTATTATTTAAATCTGCATATTGTTCAGACGAACTTTTAACAACCATGTGAAAAACTTTAGACTGTTCAAAGAACTTTTTATTAACCGTGTCGTGATGTGAAAATTCTTAAATCCTTTGGTATAGTATGATTGTGTCTGAGGCATAAAAGCCATAACTTACTTGAAAAATAAAGAATTTTCCAATTTAAATATAACACAAAACTACTGTTGTAAACATAGCTTTGTATGTGACGTCATAGTATATTCACTTAATTGCTCGGGTACTTCCGTTTTGTGAAAAAAATCCAAGGTTCAAATCTTGATCCTGACGCATTGGGAGTAATACTATTTTTATTTCATTTATATATTGTAAATGTATTTACATACACTGCACTTACCTAGCATAGGCAGTAAACGCAAACTATTGGGCTTAAATTGTATCGTCAAAAGCAGATCAACACAAGTTATAAAAGGAACCGAGTAAGAAATGTTAATGTTGAATAGGGCTCTCCCAATGGTTTCACCATCATACAAACCTATGAACTACAGAATCAGTGATCTTTATACAATCCATGAGCCACTTATTTCAGCACAAAACCATGTGTTTGCACAGCACACGACAATCCAAAAACATCGTTCGTTATAACATCAAAATAATTTTTCTTTGATATAAAAATTGTATCATATGTATATAAAATTGCAATAATTTTAACAATTAACATTTCTTAAAAGCCAATCCGGCATATTTTTACCAATCTAAACGCTTGATTAATCTGTGACCTCTTTCCTGTTCAGCAACCCGGCATAAGAGGAAGCCCAAGCCCGATCTTAACTTTGAAGTCTGTATATCATACATCTAACCCGATTTGTTTTCTCATAAAATAAATGCATCTATTTTATATTTCAAATACATGCTAATATTTAAAATTTAAAAGCTTTATATGACCAATGATCTTGATCCACCGAGGTCATCAAACGTTACTTTATCATTACATGTCGCTTATTTGGTCATATTGAAACTATACATGTAGGTTTTTTTTTCATTTTATGCACATATTACTTTCTTTAAACCAGACAAATGTAAAAAGATGCAATCTCCATTACTCAACTCTCCGTTGAAGACTTGTTTCTATATCAACATTAAATTGTATCCATGGAATATCCCTTTTAATCTGACGCTCCAGATTATCAAACGCTGCTGAAGAACGTTCGATATGAAAATATTTCTATTTTTTAAGAGGAAAAAAAAATAAACATAACAAAAACGATTGCCCCCAAAAAATTAGGTAACCCTTTCTTTGCAGTAGTAGACAGCCCAAAAGATTTGTGTACATCAAGCCATAATTGTACAGAAGAATCCAAGAAATGCTTTTTGACGGGAAAGATCGGGATCTGCGTATGCAAACCTGAGTATATAGGATTCGAAAATCAATGTTTAAAGGGTAAGTACTTACAGTCGCAGAATTTTATTCTACTATAAAAGGACCAATTAAGGATATCAAACAAAATGAAAAATAGAAAAACAACATAATTTTCCAAAGGATATATTAGCGCTCTTAAAAACCTGAGTATAACTCTTAAACGAAGAAGAGGAGGAAGGAATGTGGTATCGAACTCGTTATTATTTTATTTTTTTTTTTCGATTTTTCCAAAAACCAGCGGATTTACGGTTATTTTACGGAATATAATGCTTCTATCGAACTCATTATTATTGTAAAAAAAAATAAATAAATTTTTTTCCTGGTGTTGTATTTAAAACTTTTAGACATGATTTTTGAAGTTTGAAATAAATAACATATATTTGTCAAAATTTCTATGAAATTTCTTTCGGATTTAAATTTTAGGAACAAAAGTAGAAATTCTCTGAAAAAAATTATCAAAAAGCAAAACTATAGTGATATTCACGATATTTGATAAAACTGATACATGTATAAAGATATGTTAACATTCTGTGATTTTGTTTTGAAATCAATTAAAATATTCAATTCCTTTAATATTGAATGCACTTGAACACATGAAAACAGTAGGATCTATATCTACAATGCTCTAGGAAAACCAAAAGTAGAATATTGTTTTGCATCATTTTGATTAAAACAATTACAAAAATGAATTTATCATTGAAATATAACAGCTGGATCATCTTAAGGGGGCCGACTATAGTTTTATTGTGTGAAAACTACAATAGCGAAACTTTTCATTTTAATACCATATATAACATACATTAACTTCAGTGTACATGCAAAGTTTGGGGAAAAACTACCGTCCAGGTATTTTTGAAAAACGTTCAATTCATAATAAAGATAAACAAAATCAAATATTATGAGGATAGAAAATTAAAGACCATTAAGTTTTAGCATTGATTTGATATTTTTTTATGCTGTCGGTCTTATTACACCGTCTGGAATACCGCTGTAAAGACGAATAATGACTCCCATCGAATAATGACCGGGAGGGATGTCATTTTTCAACGACGGAAAATGACTCCAAACCCGTAGAAAAAGAATAGGCACATTGTCCTTATAGGTCACCTGAGCATCATGCAACAACTTTCCAGTGATTTAATTTGATTCTTGTTTTAAGCCAGATGCTATGGCATTCAATATTTTAAAAGAGGCAACATTGATCATCATAACTATACACAATGCAATTGCTAAGTTTGGTTACTTAATAGTTAATACCCATAGGCAGGGTAGGGGAACAAAAACTGTATTTCAACTAATCAGTGATACTCAGCAATAATCAGTAGTGCCCCTACCACACGTGAACCCCTGACCATAGGTCCACACATTGCACAATTTTTGAAAAGGCAACCTTGCTTTTCAAAATGTTTGATTAATACCAATGTGCAGATTTCAAACAATTTATTAATTTTCAGATATACGTACAGCCCCCCCCATCCCTTTTTGGTACCCCTGACCTTGGGGCCTTGAAATTCACAATTCTAGAAGATTATGAGGGCCCCTGCTCATCATAGATATTCGTGGGGGATTAAATTTCGTTTATTTCGTTGTTAACAATTTTCAAAGTAATTAAATCCCACACGGAATTTTATGACTATATATGGAAAAAGCTTACTCTCAAAACAACAAATTAAATGCCAACGAAACTATTTTCGATGACAGATCAACGAAATTTCATATACCCTTATAAAATTTGTGCTTCCACCAGTATATAGGTAGTTGATTTGCTAAATACCCAGGAGCAGAGAAGAAAATTTTCAAAGATTTAAGAAATTTTAAGTATTTTTCACAATATAATCAATAGAGCCCCACCCTAACACCAGAATTCCTGATCCTGGGGCCATAAAATTCACAATTCTGGTAGAGGCACTCTTGCTTATCATAACTATGCACTTAGTAAGATTATTTAAAAACCAGGAGCGGAGAAGAAGTTTTTAAAGAATTAATGCATTTTCACTATATAATCAATAGAGCCCCGCCCTAACACCTGAAGCCCTGACCCTGGGGCCATAAAATTCACAATTTTGATAGAGACACTCTTGCTAATCATAAATATGCACTTAGTTAGATTATTTATTACCTAGAATCAGAGAAGAAGATTTTCAAAGAATTAATGCATTTTCACTATATAATCTCAGGCCCCTGGGAGACAGGGATCCTGAAATTCACAATTTTTGTTCCCCTTCACCCAAAGATGCTTTATGCCAAATTTGATTGAAATTGGTTCAGTGGTTGCAGAGAAGAAGATGAAAATGTTCAAATGTTAACGGAAACGGCAAGACGCACAACGCACGACGACGGACGAAAACGGATAGCAATAGGTCATCTGAGATTTTTTTTCAGGTGACCTAATAATAAGATAGAAACAAAAAAAAATCAATTTTTGAAGGTCATTATTCTATGGGGTCATGATTCGTCTTTACACCGGCGAACTATCATACGGAACTTTTATGCTCTACATAAAACGTTCAATACTTAATTAATAATTAATAATTAATACTTAATTAATAATTACAAGTAATAACATACAATTTAAAGGAGCACCTTTGTTCTTTTTCATCAGGAAATTTGAAATTAAATGATACATGCCAGCGAAATGAGCAGTGTTCTGTGGTATCAGGCTTGGTTTGTCAGAATGATACATGCGTACGTGGGCGTGGATATGTACCACTGAATGATTCAGAATGTTTTCCATGTAAGTTTATTTTTTATCAATGTATAAATATTTTTACAGTAGCTAAATTGTTATTACAATACTTACTTTTTCCACTACTATTAATTTTTTAAACTAGAAACACATTTGGTCGGCTGATTGGAACATCAGTGAAGAATACAAAACATGCCGTTCTCATGAATAATTAATGCATTTGTCATTCCAATTAATGAATAAAATTATTTTACCTTTTTACCCACTAGATCTAGATGCATTCATAAGATTGCTAAAGTTCTGAATTTATCTTACACTTCTGTCAACACTTAGGCTCTTCAACAAACTTCCTCAACTGAATGAATTGACATTGTCATTTCTCCACCTGATGCATTTTTAGTCCAAAAGAATCGTTTTTTATTTGCATATTAGTAGACTTTTTCCCATCGACTTTTGACATATTGTTTACATGTTAAGCGACGTTGTTACATGCTGTCCATGAAATCCAACGAGAAAGTGTGCATAAGAAATACAGTGTATAATAACTTAAATTCTTTGGTGGAAATAAATAGAGGTTTTGTATTATTTCAATAATTCTGCATATCACAGCGCAGTCTGTTGGATATGCGTCTTTATCGCAGACGCAGTTATTATTTAATCTACACTGCGAAATTGCAACTCTCCATTTTTTGGAGGAATTATCGTCCTTTTACATCATGATGAAGCGAAGCTGAGACGTAGGAAAACAACAAGAGATAGACGTCAATTTTTAACCAGAAGATAGGCGGTATCGTTCTAAAATTTTATTTTTTGAAAACGGTAAGTTGTTACTTTCTCGGGATTTGCGATGATTCTTAGTGAATTACTTAAAATATAATTTAATTGCCGAAGTTCAAAAATTTCCATGCACAATGCCCGAGGAAAGTAGCACATGCCGAATCGCATTTGTTCAATATCTTAGTTTAAAACAGGTAAATGTATACAAAATAATCATATATAGAGGAAAATATACTATCTAAATTGCTTAATCGCTAACGTTAATAATAATAACATAAAAAACTTTCACGGGTAGAGATTTTTGTAGGCAAAAAATAAATCATGCCACTATGGAAATATCGAAAGTCGAATAGTCCATATGCCAGGCCAGCGCCAGCTACAGAAACAATATCGGCACCGCCCCAATCCACTGGCACAGTCACCACACACAGCCATACTTCCATAGAGGTATGACAATGTCGTTACCCGCATCAGTACCCCCCAACGGAAGCAAACAGGATCACAGAACAGCCTGATCAAGATAATGCAGGTAAAAGTACTTGTGTGGGATATGAAATTCATACCAGCAATGATAATAACGATCTTTTGACCCCCAATACCATAGACAACACATCATTTAAGTTAAGGTTTAACGTCAATGCGACTACTCGTACTAAAATAGTAGAAGGCCAATACGTAGACTTGGCCGAGCTTTTAAAAGTTCAACCTTCAGAAACTCCCAACAATACGTTTCATATCAAAAACACAGGGAACTTAATTTTAAAGCCAGAACCCCCCCCCCCCCCCCCCCCCAAAAAAAATACAACAATCCAAAAGTGGACAGACGCATTCTTGATATTTAGAAGCATTTATCTTTCAGTTCAAAAAGACAAAACCCAACACTTACTCAAATTCAATGCACGAAAAGCTGAAATTATTTACTTACTTTTTTGCTGAATAAAATCTTTTGCTCTGAATATGATCTCCCTTCTCAAATTATGAAAGATGCTAACGTTGCTTGCAACCAATGAAACCTCTGTCAATTTAATATATGTAATAAATCTAATCCTTAGTTAAGAATTTTTGTTGTTATTTGTACAGTTTTTGTACCTTTTTTGATGAGCTTTGTAGAGTACTCACATATTTCCGTGTGGTCAAATTTTCGTGGTTTGAGGAAAAAATGTTGGTTCGTTGGGATTTGATTTCGTGGATAAAGAACTTTTTAGTAGTTGTGCATATCAAAATTTATATTTCGTTGTGAATATGAATTGTGGGTCTGTTCATACCTCGAAAACAACAAAAATTACCCCCCCCCCCCGAAACGTAGTGATTTCACAGTATTTTCTTCCAAACTCATGTATTTTTAAGGCCCCTGTACATTATCCAGGTCCAGAACATATCACATGTTTGTGTGTTCTTTTTGACATTTCTCCTTAAAACGTTTAATTTATTATAATAAGCAAAAAACATAAAAAAAACACAAAGTAGTTGTTTACTATCATTTAATCACAATAATAAAACAGTTATTGCGGTCAATACGGTGATTAGCAACCTTCGAAATACAATATTCAATATTGTACTCCTCAGATGTCGTAATGATCGAATTCACCATAAAACAGCAAGTACATTGCATTGTATTGTATAAATCTTTATAAAAGATTTACTGATTACATATTAGATGTTAGGTTTTTAAACAGTTTGATGACAAATATATGGGATACATAAACAAAAGGTATATTCTTTAAAATGCAAATCACATATTTGTGGCAAAATATATTCATTAACAATATTTACATGTAACTCCACCAGAAAATGATTTCACTTTTCCAGAAAATGATAATGTTGACAACCCTTATTAAAATGGATTTTGACTAGAAACCCAGTTTATAAAACCCCCAAAAAGTCCTTGTTTTTGGCTTGCTGTTTGGAGATTTTTCTTGAACGTTGAATCCTGAAATAGATATGCAGTCATACATTGATCTAACTAGGTATAATCAAGAGAATACGTGTGTTTTATATTTTTAATAATTTAAATTATATTTTAACAATTTTTAACTTGTAAGTTTGTATAGAAAATAACTCTATCACTAGCAAAATAGTCTCGCTAGTTTAAATGAGTATTTTGCCATAGAAACTAAAATCAATAAACATTTCGACCACTTTGAAAAATGGTATTCATATTTATTGCTCCTGTCAACATAAATTGCTGGTCATTTCAATTTTATTTTAAAGTCGAACGATGTTTGAAGGATACAGAACTTGTAAATTCATAGCATTAACTGTAGTATTAAGCTAAAATAACACAAACAAACTTTCTTCAGAAATCAGCATTATTTCTCATAGATTTACATTTAAATTGACAACCTGAATAATGTTTACCAAGTAGAGTTGGAGAATTTTATTAGATTTTGTCATAAAGTTTTAAAAAAATGTGCAAAATTTTGTATGGAATTATATAGAAGGCAAAATAAAATCTCAAATCTAAGCACCAAGGAAAACCTACGATTTCTTTATATTTCAGGGATTTATTATTTATATCAATACAAATCAAAATCAGTCAAAAAATATATATCAACCCGCGCATCCATTTTTTGTTTGTGGTAAGTACCCTTAATACTGTATACAAATGTACAACATTTGCTATAGTCCTTCTATATTCAAAACAATTAGATTCTAACTGTATATCATAAAAATTGGGTCGAGGAAGAGTTAAGAATATACGTTGGAAAAACTCAATTAGAATCATTAGCTCTTACATGAACAAATGTTTTTTGGAAATCTACTATATTGATAATGGATAAAAAATGTGACACAAAAATGCTAGGTCGATCTCGAGAATTGTCTATCTATATCTGCCGAAATTTACATGTAGGAGAACCTATCACATTAAATTCGTATAAATACAGTTAATTTCGACACTAACTTTGCCGTTTCCAACCTCGTTCAATATTACTAGAAGTAGCAATAGGAGTTGAATTTACATTTGAAAGCATTAGAAATGCTTGAACAATAATTTTGTCATAATATATATTAGAAAATATTTAGCTTAATTGGTAAAATATACCTTTGATTTCAATAATCAAGAAAAAAAGATTTTTATTTAAAGATGGAATCAGACATAAATTAGTATAATTTTTACATAATAGAAACAATAGCTTCATACAGAGTCTTCTGAAGGATTTTTCTTTATCTGAAGCCAAGCAATACATGTTTGGGACTTCACAAAAGGGGGGGGGGGCTTTCAATGATAGCTTTAAAAAATTGCATCAATACAGAAAAGATGATCGATAAAGGAGACTCAAATACCAGTGGGCATGGTGCTTTTCTTGATGCTTACAATACTATTACAAATTGGAATAGAAATGTAACAGAAAGTAAGAAGAAAAATTCGATTAAAGTTAGGACATTAATAATAATAAAATGTTCATTTATTCTTATTTATAAAAAAGGATATTTCATTTTTGATCTGTGATATAGAGTTTGCTATTCATTGGTGTCTTTGGGTTACCTGACACCGGGTTACCTTAAAGAAAGAGACTTCTAAAATGTATTCATTATGGGCAGACACTAGTTAGAATGATCTAACTGTGTGTCGGTACAAGCCCTCACCATAGTTAGAATACGTCCCATGTACTTGCAATGTAGCAAATCGGAGCGGATCTGCTCCGAAACGATTTTGAATGATATAAAATGATTTGCACTTGAAATAACTACCAAAATACATGTAATCAAAACAAACCTTTTTGAGATTCCTTATGCCTTTTATCCCCCAAAAATAACCCATATAAATACGAAAATTCAATCAATTTTCTCAATGTTTTTCTCTCGCTTCAAATTAAACTGCCATGTTTACATTCAAAACTCTCCAGATTGTTCGTAGTAAATGCACCGAGTACGAGTTATCGGCTGTGTTTCTTTTGCTACATTACGAATACACGGTACGAATTTTATCGTTAAACCGGATCCGTAGGACATTTATCATTTAAACGATAGAAATGGATAAAAACGGCTTCATGGTCTTTGATTACCTTTTACACTGCTTATTTATCGACCCATGTATGTTTGTCTTGAACAAGCCTCGATAATTATTTTGCTGAAAATCTTTCTTGAAAAAAAAAAATCTTACTTACTATATAACTATTGCAATTTAATTTGTCAATCATCATCATGTGCTCGATCATTGTAAAGATCACACGACGAATGTGACAGGAGTACAGGAATGCTTTCTCCTCCAAAACATTTAATCCCAATTCTGAAGATATCAGAGGTCAGTGTATGCTCTGCTGTTTATT